TGAACAATGAGAGAAAAAAGTGGGCTACTCACGAGGCACTTGTGATGTTGTCGGCCGAGGAGAGGTTTGTGAACTTGAAACTCCGGTGGTGAGTTTTATGGTTGATGTCTTTAGAGGCTCTGTAGTTACTATAGAGAAAATAACGAAGAACCTTCCTGCATTTTAGGAACATTTTTTTCTTGTTATAATTTGTTCACTGTATCTCTAACTATTCATTTTTTCCTGAAAAAAGAAAGAGAAAAGAGAAAAGAGAAAAGAGAAAAGAGAAAAGAGAAAAGAGAAAAGAGAAAAGAGAAAAGAGAAAAAAAGAACAAATGAAAGAAAAGAAAAAAAAAGAAAAAGAAAAAAAAAAGAGAAAAGAGAAAAGAGAAAAGAGAAAAGAGAAAAGAGAAAAGAGAAAAGAGAAAAGAGAAAAAAAGAACAAATACCTGGTTGTATAACATTCAGCTTTGTAGGAATGTATCTGTAACCCGTTTCTCCCTGCAGGTTGATCAGTGCCATGTACTGATTGGTGTCATTGATGTTCAGGTTTGTGATCTTGAACCAAGCCTGACCCTTTGACAGTTTACCTACAAAACTGACTCTTCCTGAATAACTGGTTGAATTGATCTTGGTGTCTGGAAATGCACCACCAGGGTTAAATACGCGGCAAAGTCTTGGATTCAGGTCATTTGTATCACCAAGTCGTACTCCCCAGGTGGCTTCTGACATTGCTGTGCTATTAAACATGAACACCACATCTTGTCCCACCTCTCTCGTTAGTGAACCAGGACTAGATATGGTCACTAAAGGTATAAAGAAATTTAAACAAACCCTCAGTGGAGAAAACGTTATGAAAATAAAATGCTGATTCAGTCGTTGTAAATTGATACGTCTCATCGCCTCAGTCCATTTTGTAATTTCAGTGGAAGAAGCACAATGTTAGTCATAATATATGAGTCAAACTCTCATAGATTTAAATGACTACAAAATGGGGTATATTTTGATTCATTAATTGATTGACTGACTGATTGACTGGTACTGCAACTATTTAACCTGAACTATTCGATTTT